AAAAACAAATAAGGCGAGTTGGCTTTTGGCACGTTAGTGGTGAAAATACAGTGCAGTTTAATGCTGCTGCATTTTGCATGAAGAGCCAAAAGTGTAAAGTTACAGTTCAAGTGTTTTATGTCCAAATCTGACCACGGTTTACCAATACCACCCAGTTTCTTCACTAGAGGAGTGTTTTTACTAAGATTAAAAGTGAGGAAGGAAGTGACTTTCTGCTACAGGCTGGTTGTTTGCAAGCTGCTCACTGACCAACACCTTATTCTGTCTTCAGCCTTTCCTCTGTGAGTAGGCTGCTGTTGATTTTAACTATATATTTCTCATGTTTTATGAGGTTTTTCACAGCAGGTGTAAGGCCATTAGGAAAGTCATACAGTCGACTTTCAGTCAGTCAAACTGAAGACTACGACAGCCATGTTGTCGACACAAGATGGATTTGTGTTTATGGGTTTTGTCCTCTACATCTCAGGTAGGAATTACTGTTTATCCTTTGTTATATAGAATTTAAAAAGGTGTGAATAAATTAAAACACTTTTTCTTGTGTGTTCAGGGTAAAACCAAAACATTTTTTGTTACCGACATCTTTGATTATTTCTGTTCAGCTCTTTGAATGTCTGACAGTGTGAGAGTACTGTGTGACCGTTTACAATATCATACTGTCAGGTTTGCCCGGCTGCACCTTCCTCTCTTCTCTCTTTCTCGCTCTAGTCTGCTCCTTCTCACTGACTCTCTTGATTAACACACCTGTCCTGATTTTCTGACACTCTTCAGCTGCGCCTCCTTTGTCACTCCCTATTTATACCCGGCCTTACCTCCACTCCCTTGCTGGTTCTTTCTATGTCGTTAGCCTTCTTTACATTACGTATTATACTATTTTTCTCCTGTTTTCACATATGTTATTAGTTCTAGCGTCTCCTGTTGTTTTACCTGGACCTCTTTGAAAATATATCTTGGTGCACAATATTTTTAGGGGTTGTTGAACCAGTTCTATGACAGAAACTGGCCTTGTCTGAATCCACATTTAGTATTTTTTATTATTTTGTGATACTTTTACTACTGTAGCCATTTTAAATGTACATTTGCATTTGCTGTATATCACATATCTCCACACTGCTCTTGCCTCAGGGAATGTTCTATTTGTATTGCCAGAAAGCTCAAAACAACAACAAAAAAAACAAACACACAAGGGACTTTTCCTCAGGCAGGTGTGGGTTCAGTTCCAGTGTGTGTCGTATTTTTCAAGAGTTTTGTTGCTAAACATAACCAAGTAGCTGTTCCCTAAACCTAAACACATAGTTGTTGTGCCTAAACCAGTAGCTGTGTATCAGTTTCACTACCGATACTTCTGACATACTAGTATAACTGTTAAATTACAGTATTCTCATTGCCATAAAGTGTTTAAAGCTAAAACTCTGTCACTGAAAGTGGTTTTCTGCCACAGATTACCTGATGGGAATTATCAGATTCAGAATCTGCTTTATTGGCCAGGTGTTTTGGACACACAAGGAATTTGACTCTGGTACATCGGCTCTCAATGTGTATGTACATATCCCCATGTAAGGGGCAAGTAAACAGTAAACCAGCATAAGGCTGTGTAATATAACAAAATAAGCAGTATTAACGGGCAGTACTTATCTTGATACTGAAAAGTTTTTTTTGCCTTCAGTCAGTGGTGCTCTGGGTTCGATTGACCCAAGGTGCTTTGACCCTGTTATATTTACTTTTATTTCCCTCTTCTGGATTATAATTTGCTTCAAATGCCAAGATGTCATCTAAAATTTTAAGTTTACTTATGATTTTATACAAATGTTTCAAGACGTTCCTACAACTT